CGTTCGTACCTGTACAGAAATTACTGAGTGAAAAAATGTACATTTTTTTCCCTTCCCAATACAATCTGGACCACACTATAGGTACATATATTAAATTTTTTAGAATTCATTGCCATGGGCAGTCAGAAATCGACATAAATTAGTACAGATATTTCTGTAGTATTGAAGAAACCTCTATAGACCATGAAAACGCAACTCTTAAAATAATAATATACGACGGATGCTGAATATTCCCATGCATATGTCCTCGTTACTGCTGCCTCTTAATTGTGTTGACAAATTTAATGAGAATGTTGCTCTTTTAGAAGAGAGTACTGCCTTCTAAAGTACATACCGTTAATTCCACTAACTTTAATCATTAAATTTAATTACGGAGAGGACATTTTATAAACATGATGCTATCCATTGAGTCGTAACTCAGATACTATAGTTAAAGCGTAAAATATGAAAATATAGTCAATATAATTTTGACTGACTTCCATATTATACCATAGAAAAGTTTAATATATCAGCTTCGTTCCAACACACAAATTTGTACGCATGTGTAGACTTTGATAGTTCTGTTACGATACCAAAATTAAATGCGTGTTGGAACGTGAGAAAGAGTGATGATCGAGGCTCGTCTTGGCCTTGTGGTCTTGATCTTAGTTTTTCTTAAAAAGCAAGACCAAGACTAGCGTTATATCTGCGAGACCAAGACTAGGCATGCAAGACTCTTGTGGTCTCTTTTTTTCACGTTTACTTACTGAACTTACAAAATTACTTATTTGTTCAAAATGATTGTTTTGTTTTAATTTATTATAATTAGTTTTCTCCCGACTATTGCCTAACATTTTGAAGAAACAAATTCTGATATAATATACTAAGATCGCTAAAAAATTTTGATTGGCAATTGCAGGATATGATATTCTACTAATTAAAAAACTATATTCTTAAGTACACTGATTTAGTAATCGATTATTTTTATTATTTAGTAGATTATTTTTTTTTTATAATTGTGGTGCTGTGCAATTGTCCAGTCAATATAATTATTACAGAAATAAAGATCTCTAATATTAATACTATCAATTTATAACAAAATTATTAAACAGGTGCTTCAATTAGGGTTGCCAACCGTTCTCTATTCCAGAGGACAGTCTTCTTTTTGATCTCACTGTTCTCTTTTCTCTCAAAAAGTCCTCTTTTTTTACATACCAAACTCAAAATCTAAAAAATATTCGGCTATTGTCACAATACTTTCAAAATTGTTAATCTCTCTCTTTCTAGCGATAAACGTGTTTAACTATTTTATGTTTACTTACTGTTAGTTTATGTTTTGTTGAAAATAGTTTCTATTTGTAAGAAAGACCATCAATCGCATACCGTTGACATAACTTTTTGGTAAATTCTTGACATTTGGGCGAGGTTACGAAAAATGTTTCGCCGGTGCCTCTTTTTTACCCTCCCATGCTCTATTTTTTAGCGTTGACAGCCCTAGCATCAATACAAATAAATAAAATAAACTGACTTGGTTTTACATATGAGATCTTATAACTTTTTGTAGCGGGTGAATTGTGTAAGACTTTCCATTTTTTTACATTCTATGTTTTTGATGGAATTCAAATTTTACTAAATGTAATCAAAAGATTATACCTAACATTTTAATTTTACAACCTATAGAGGGTGTATTTATCGCTATAATAACGTTTAGTAGAGTGGAATTAATAATGGATACACGAAGAGGGTATATACCTAGTTTGCATATTTCTAAGCTTGGAAGCATTTGAACATTGGTATAATTTTATAGTAAATGCAATAGCAACGTTTAAAATGCTCTATAAACTGTAGATGACAGTTTGAAATGTAAATAAATCTATAGGGAATTAGTATTTAGCTTTGAATAAGAAGACTAAGGAAGGAGCATATCAAAAATATTAGGTACACCGCGATGGGCCTCAAATATGGCCGACTTAAATTCCGGTTTATCAGTGTCGTTCTAATTTTATTTAAAAAATGTAAAACTATGATGTAGGGTAGACGTGGGGTAGACTCAATAATTTGTTGTTTTATTTTACGTTGTGAATAAATGTTGGTAGTTATTAAAATTGTTATAAAATATATAATTCTAATAAAAATAGATAAGTTATAATAAGTATTTATTAACACAAACATCCGATACGCTACTGAAGCAGGTAAGTCAAATTAACGTATCTAAATTCTTTTGACATCTAATCTTTGACAAGTAATAAATAAAAGCTAAAATGCAAGAAAAATATATATAATTTAGTTAATTTATGAATTTCATAAATGATCGGTTTACTACACGTATGTATATTATATAGTCACTTACTAGCGAAAAGTTGTTCCATTATTTCTCTCAATTTTTGCCGAGATCTCGCGCACGCTACACAACCAACTATTTTAGAGTCTTTTTCGATAAATCGCGATAGTGTCACTGTTAATTTAAGTTCTGCCACAATTTCCATCTAGATTTACTACCTTTATACAACTATCAGTAGTAGAATAAATAATAAATAACATAAAATCAGCTCCGTAAAGACTGACAAATCCTCAAAATTTCAAATCAAATTCAAATGTGTCAAATGAATCGTCAAACAGAACTGTCAAGGATCCCCACCCTAGAGAGCTTTTATGGTGCCTTTTCCGCCCACCATGCATGAATACATGGATAGCATTGTGCTCCTTCCTTAGTCTTCTTATTCAAAGGTATTTAGTAACAATTTATTCAATTGTGTTCTAAAACATGATATTAACTTGTAAAATATACAGAAACAGTTTTATTTTAGAAACACTAATTTTTTAACTAATAATATTTTTCAGTTTATTTGGTACTGTTATACGCAACAAATGGTTAAAAGCTGTTTTTGTTTTATAACCTGCATATTTAAAATAATGTTTTCCAAGTTCTGCAGAAGTTCATTAAACTAATCTCATTCATGTTCCATTGTTCGAGTTTCTACAAATATTAAATCATTTGTTTAAATATATGCTTTCTTTCCCCATGTTTAATTAGCTTAAATATAAATATAATATATACTTACATTACATTTATAATTTATACAGTGCTACAGAACAATATCTGAATACTCTGATTGCTCTATATCATATGGGACTTTTTATTTATCGATTTAGGTGAAATTTTGCTTACTTTTTGCTTTGAACTGAAAGAAATTCTAAACTTAAGTTGATTATTGTGTCTTAAAAATATAAGGGAAGGACCTTGATAAATGTGAAAATCTACATTATAAAAAATGTTTATCTGTGTCGTCTCTACTGAAGTAACGACTTGCTCTAGAAAGTTGCTTTTTTAGTAAAAGATACCTAATTAGCTCTTCTAAAAACTGTCGTCGCCGGATTTTTTGTTTTTTATTTGATTAAAAAAAAGTATTATTAAAAAAGTATTTTATATTATTAGTCGTGGCGGATACGCCAGGCTTCAACTAGTTATTAATATTTTGCATTACCTAAAGGTGCGTTTACACCGGCTGAGGCGCTCCGCGCCGCGCCGCGCAAAACATTTTTTTAACCTGTATCTACTTTTGAGGTGTATTTTTAGCGCGCACAAAAGTATATGTTAAAAAAAATGACATGCGTGGCGCGGCGCAGCCGGTTTGAACGCACCTTTAAGCAAATATTTTTACAATAAAAAATAAATTATTTTTTATTAAACTACACATAAATCGATTCAATAAATTTAATTAAATATACAAAAAAGTACTACCATCAGTTTGCGATCAGTACAAAATCTGTGACGTAAAAAGTAGACCTAAGACTTGTGAATATAATTTTCAAAAAGTTTTTCGGATTTTTTTTAAGACAACCTTTCTTTGACATCTTCTTCATCAACCTTTGTTTTTTCTTCCACAAATGAATAGTAAGCTCGATAGTAAGCTTGTAAAATTTTTGGAAAGTGATGTCTTAACGAATTTTACGATTTAAATTTAGGGCAGATATGGGAAACATCTGGAAATACTCGTGAGTTAAACCATTTTAGTGTCTAAACCGACGCTGCTGGATCTTTGTAAACAAAAACTTTATTACCATTCTTTGTTTAATCACACTTACTACGAGTTTATGGATCTGTTATCCATATGCCTATAAAAGATAATTTTATTTTAAAAGTATAACCACATGCTTATAATGAGCTATTAAATTTGATTCGATTTTTGTTATAAATTGCACAGTCTACAATATAGTATTTTTTGCCTTAATATTGATATTAAATGTTTCATATTTTTTAATGTTTATAGGTATGTACTAGCCTTACTAGCAATTATGCTGAAATATTGAGGAAGAAAAAAATATTTATTTTAAACATTTTATTCTAATCATCAATTTATCATCATATACAGGGTGGTCCAGATTGTATTAGGAAACTTCGGCAGCATATTCTGCAGATAAAAATTAGTAAAAAAAGTGTATAAATGCTCCGTTTCAGAGATACGGGGTGTCGAAGTTTCATTTTTATTTCGATTTAACTAACGTCAATATTTGAATGAAAATTGGTGTCTAGGTGATTTTTGACATGGCAAATTTGATTTCGATGTCAATATGGCTCTTACTTGTGCGTTACCTACATGTCCTTTTACTGTTTTGAAGAGTAATAACATTTCGACCGTATTAAACTACTATGTGAAAACATTTTTACCTAAAAAAGTTAGTCTCAGTTAAAAAATTATGGCGCCTCCTACAAGTAGGAGTCATATTAACATTGAAATCAAATGTCCTCCATATCGACGTTAGGTCAGAAATTATTTGGAAAGATACAAAATAAAAATGAAACTTCTACAGCCTGTATGTCCGAAGCAAAGCATTTTAGGACATACAATTATACGAACATTTTTTACTTAATTTTATCTGCAGTACATATATGCTGTAGAAATTTGCCGAAAACAATTCGGACCACCCTGTATAGTATATTATAGTAGTATAGAATCTTGTATATGAGATATGTTATAACCTAATGTAGAATTCTATTTGATTTCTATTTTTTATTTCAGACGGATCCAAATACAGCCTTCCTTCGAGCAGCTAGGGCCGGACAGCTAGACAAAATCCAAGAATATCTGGATTCTGGAACTGTCAGGGATATCAATACGTCCAACGCAGTAAGTCCTAATAATAAGCTAATTACTCGCTGTGAAAAAGAATCTGCCTTTTTATGCAATCTTCGTAAATAATAACTGCATTATTGCTTAATATCTTTTTGGAATTGACCTTCAATACAATATTAACTAAAATCGTAATAAAATAAGATAGTAATAATAAACAATGAATGTTGTTATTGTGGACTGTGGTGACTGCCAGTGACCAGTGGCTGCAAATGAAGAGAAGGAGAGTGAAATATATAGGATGTGATATGGATGTGATAAAGGAATAAATTATGACATTTAATTATTGAACCATTGTTATAATTGACGCATAAACAATACTCACCAACATATGGAGAAAAATATACAGAAACTATAGCAATAGTGACAAAATATACAGAATGCGTACAAAGACCTAGAGAGTAAAGCTTCATTCAGAACCTCGCAGTTAGTGGAATAAATTAGTGGTTTCAACTACACTTTATACTTTTTAGTTTACGATCATTCCACGATCATTCACAATGTTTAAAAAACACAATTAAAATTAATAGAATATCCTAGCAACGGCTTGCGTTAGTCAGTCGTATCCATAGAGAAAGCCTAATATTTAGTAGTGATGTAAACTTTAGTTACTTTTATGGACTCGTAACTACTAGTTACTTTTGGTAATAGGACTCGTTACTTTAGACTCGTTACTTTAGTTACTCGTTACTTTGGTACTTAGTATCGTTACTTTATAATCGTTGTTTTGTGTACAGGTTGAAAGACTTGGGCTTGACGTGGAACTTCGTTACTTATTGTGCGCGGCGATCTTCGTTGCATGCTCGGTTTAACTTATAAGGGGTTTCTACTTTCTTCTAGTGTAAGGGCTTAATAGGATAATTTCAATACTCGGTATTCAAGTACTGAATAATATGTTTTTAATAATATGTATAATATTTTTATAATAATATGTTAAATAAAACTATGTACTATTAATAAAATTAAAAATAAAAGAAAACAAATCAAACAAAGAAAATAATATGTACGTGTATAATACATATAAAGTATTTTTTTTATATTCTCTCTCTCTCTCTCTCTCTCTCCCTCTCTTTGTATTACATTAATAAATAGGCATACATTTAAGAGTAAAAATAAAAAAAATATATATATTTTTGTTAAAATGTAAAAAATATTAAAAAAATGTATATTCCTCTGTGGCGGATTCATCTCTTCAAAAAAGTCCTTTGAATTAACGCCCCCAGCAGTGTTTACTAAAAATTACTATTTTTATTTTGTAGATTTTCTTACAGTGTAAGTGGCGAAATATCTATTCTCTTTGGAAGAAGAAAAATATTTACTCTGCTTTTTCAGATGTTAACATTTTTTGTGACTAACGTGAATCCATTTTTAATTAATATCTAAGACATGTTAATCTAAATAAACAATTTTATTCTATAAATAAAAAGCGACAACAAACGGCAAAGAGACAGACCGCCTCCGGGTCGGCATGAGCCAATCATAATAATTGTAATAAAAATATCACACATTTGCCATCCAAAACACCTTCCAGAAGTCAACACTTCAAACATAAACATATTGATAATAACTAGACCTACGTCGAAGTAAGGAATATTTCAGTATCGAGTTTCGAGTCCTCGGTTCGTGCATTTCCAGGGATTACGATTACTGCCGGCGCAAAAGTAACGAATTAGCTTAGTAACGAGTAACGAGTCCTAAATTCAAATAGTAAGCGTTACTTCGAGTCCCCGTAAAGTAACTGTTACTTTGTAACGATTACTTAGAATTTTTACATCACTAATATTTAGCTTATAAAACAGTCAATTTTTGAAGTATAATTAGTGGAAAAGTTAAAAGTTTGAGTTGTAAAATGTCTACCACTAATTTTGACGTCCTGAATGCTTTTATTGAAATTATAGGAACAAACTTCTACGCTAATTGAAACCACTAATTTATTCCACTAATTGCGAGGTTCTGAATGACGCTTATAGCTTATAGCCTCATTCAGAAACTCGAAATTACTGGTTTCAATTACACTTTTTACTTTTTAGTTTACGATTATTCACAATGTCTAAAAATATAGTTAAAATTAATAGAATATCCTAGCAACAGCTTGCTATAATCTGTTGTTTACATGCATCCGTAATGCGTCGTCCGTCGTTGATTTTATGTAATATTTTATTGTTGATTTCAAAAATGACAGCTCGTACATGAATATGATTGGACTAATGGAACGACGGGCGACGCGTTACTGATGCATATAAACTCACCTTAATAATTAGTTTAATCATGTTTGATGATTCATGGATGAATCAAAGGCCAAAATGACATTACTCGAAAATTTTGAAGTATATAATTATTAGTGCCAAAAGTTAAAAGTTTGTTAACCTTTTTCACTAATTGAATATTACCACAGAAAATATAGCTAATATTCTGTGATATTACTACTACTAATTTTGACATTCTGAATAAATACATTGAAATTAAAGGAACGAACTTCTACGCTAATTTAAACCACTAATTTATTCCATTAATTTCGACGTTCTGAATGTAGCTTAAGCATGAAATCAGAATTTGTCCGTGAATTAAAATGACCTACACAATTGGACAAACCTAAAATATACCAAGCCCAATAAATCCACAGAATATCCAAATCAGATTCATATGTGTGTCAAGAGAAACGTCAAACAAAACTGTCAAAAAATGGCGTCTCTATTGGGATATACATACATCTACATGTAATCACAATAGAATTTTGATTCATTACTTTTTTACAGTAATATGACACTTAATGTGTGTAGTTATACAATATTCTTTTAAAACTAACAAGGTTATTTATTTTAACAACTTATATTTTACAGACACAACAAACTTATATTTATTTAACCAAAACTCACATACTGACTATTGTTTCAAGGCAAGAAACATTAACACATTAAAACAAACCATTTTAGTTAAACACGCCTTTAGGAATAAATTACTCCTTAAAATAATATAATATAGGCGTAACTACATTTGATCAGAGAATTATTCATTTCGATAGAATTTGTTAACAACTACTACTAAAGAAAATTGCAAAAATGTGTTTTTCTCAACTTTCAGAACGGCTTAAATGCTCTCCATCTCGCAGCTAAAGATGGCCATGTCGATATCGCCAAAGAACTACTCAAGAGAGGTGCAGTGGTGGATTCAGCGACCAAAAAAGGAAACACAGCTTTACATATTGCTTCTCTAGGTAAGTTAGTTAAATTTGTACAGCTTGAAAGAAAAAAGTAGTTAAGTGAATGTAAATATTGAGATCTTTATTAAATATCGTGTTTTTATTTTTAAAGAAAACCTCTATTTACAGCCTTAAGTTCTACACCATTCCCTGGCTTGTAGTGATGATCAAATACAAAACCAAGACTCCCTTGATTTTCGTCTTGCTTCGACTCTTGCAAGTCTTGCATTTTTTCTTAGATTTTGGCTAGAGGCTACATATAAAATCTTTAAGTAAATAGTATTTAAAGTAATTTGGTGCAAATGAAACATTAAAGAAAGAACCAATGCCTGGAAGTGAGAGGCATCCTGCTGTACCATCGCCACGTACTTTGTTACTCTTAACATAAATTTAATCCTTATTTCACACTTAATCCAGAAAAAAAACAGCTATAATATCTACATTTCTTGAACTTGACCACTTACAATTAAAACAATTTAAAATTAATACCATAAGAACGCCATCGTTCAACTTTTCTTTCTTGCCATACAAAACTCAATATATCACAAAATATGTATAGACCAACAAATCACAAACTAATCAATGGGCACTTTATTACCGGGTAATATCCGACTTCTGATGTTAAAAATCAGATTATATTCATAGGTGTATCGCTAATATAATCCTTGAAAGGTCAGATGGTTTTGCTGGTTACGTAAATTTCACAAAGTCACTGAGGAGTTTTTATGTGTAGATTGTGAAGCTACTGGAATTGTTTTCCAAAAAGTTACATAAATATTGATAAGTTCTCTCTGCCAATGCCGATATGCCTAAATTTTCAATAATAAGCCCATATCACAAAGTTACATCCATTCTACAATTAAAATTGTAAAAAAGCTTTTTTATTTAACTGAAGAAAAAACTAGTTTGTTAGTTGTTGAAAAGCGATCGAAACTAAAAGACTTTTTTATTGTCGTTTAAAATTAGTAGGCAATTAGGTTTGGAACGTGGAGAAATTTACGATTGGTTTTAAAGTGCACCTGTTGAGGCCAGTCAAAATAAACAATACGATCCTATTCTGCGAGCCAGCTAGAGCAGGAAATAGGTACAATTAGCATTTCAGATTTCGGTCGTCGTCGATTGTCGACGAATTCCTTTTAGTTTGCAAGTATAATAGAATTTACATGTTTAAATTATCTAGGAGATATGTAGGAGTTTTTAATTTAAGTAGTTTTATTATTTTTAAAAGCAATTGCAAAATTTCGAGCTACAAAATATGGTAAAAATATTATTTGGTAAAGAGGATTCTTTGAGTTTATTCATTAGACAGCCAGTCAACGATCATTTACATTTTACATGGAACTTTTTCATCTTTACATTTTATATGTACCCACCACTTTGGTAGTCGGAGAAATCTCTGGTAGGTGTATTAGAATCTTATAATACCAGTAACAGAGCTGCAACAAGTCAGTTTTAAAAAGACTCAAGTCTTAAGTCATTTCTAAAATCAAAATGATTGAAGTCTTAAGTCAAATTCAACAGAAAGTCCAAATGATTTAAGTCTTAAGTCTTTGACTTAAGTCATTTTATTTCAAGTCAAATTTTTGTAACACTTTTGTTTGTTATTTAAGTCGTTTTTATAGTCTATATTTTTGTTTCATGATGATCTGCAATTTAAGTCAGTAAAATGACTTAAATCAATATAATTACCCTCAAGTCAAGACAACCAGAATTCAATTTAAGTATCTTTTTTAAATGTTAATATTAATTTTCTTGTATTACCAGTTAGCGATTTTCTTACTAAGTATCATATTATTAATCGATGTACTTAAACAGCCGTTAAACGGTAGCCTACTAAAATGCCGTTAATAGATATTGTGACGTCGTTCATGTCGGCGAAAAGTAATGCCTAGCTATAAGCATTTTGCAAGAGCACCTGTGGCTCCGTGGCTGAGGCTATCGCTTCGTGAGCGAATGGTCCGTGGTTCAAATCTCACGCCGACCCAGACTTTTTTATATTTTTTTTTGCTTATACCGTGATCTTATTGCATTGGTTTCACTCTTTTTGGTTGGATTGGTTTAGTTATTTAGCGGGTTGGTTAGCGTCGTTATTTGGAGGGTGTTAATTCATTGGTTAGTTGGCTAATTTATATTTGTTTTTTATATTTTTTTATCAGTGTCTAGGTTAGTTGCGTTGGTTAAGTTGGTTATTTGGTGGGGTGGATAGCGTTGATTAGTCCTTATAAATTCCTATATTTCATAAAGCCGTCAAGTGCGTCACAACGACGTCATACCTATTAACGGCATTTTAGTAAGCTACCGTTTAACGGCAGTTTAAGTACAGCCGTTATTAATTTATAGTAGATACAGATGAGACTAAAATCACATAAAATAAAACGGTTAATATTCAGAACAAGTACAAACACAAAAATATATATTTTTTTATAAAATTAAAGGTAGATGTCATCGAATACACGCCTATTAAAAAGTGGTGATGTGTTTTGATCACTATGTGTAATATATCGATGGCATAAGCTAAGGGTTGTAGGATTTTAAGGTACTCTTCAATATATTTGAGATAAATTTCTTTCGTTCATTTTTCGGGCTACATGTCGGAGTCGGGGACTTAAGACATTAAAATGACTTAAATCAAAAAAAGACTTAAGTTTTCTGTGCTTGCAGCTCTGGCCAGTAATCAATTAGTGCAACAACATTGCAGAAAGTTAATAGGTAGGCAACCTATCAACTTTTTATAAAAAAAAACGCCGTGGTCTGTATTGATTTTTGCAGTCCTGTGATTGAGAATCAAAAAAAAAATAAAAAACGAAAATTGATTGCTAACGAAAATGTAAATAGCAGTAGCCGTCCATTTCAAGTCATATGGACCGAAATGTAGGGGACTGTTGACAGAAACAACAAATCTTTTTTTAGTCTTAGTGTGCGAACACAGTGCAAGCAGGTTTGCCGCTTACAGGTAGTCAGCGCCAATCTGGGCACCTATTCTTGACATCGTTCGCAACTTAGCGTAAACACATCACGTGTATTGTTATAAACAGGGTATCCCAGAAATAAGTGCAAGTATTTTAAAGGGTGGTAGATCTCGATAAAAGAAACATATGTTCTCTTTATCGTTTTTCAAATAAGTCCAAAATAATGGAGTTACGAGTATTTTACTTTGAAAATTTCCAAAAAAAAATTATTTTTTGCTAAAATTTTGAGAACCTTCTTCTTCATGTGCTTTCTCCTCATCGGAGGTTGGCGACCATCAATTGGAATTCCTCCCCGTCTTGAGCCAAACGGATAATTGCACTGGCCTCTCCTATATTAAACCACTGGCGCAAATTCCGCAACCAGGAAAACCGTTTACGCCCGATGCCTCGTCGTCCTCCAATCTTTCCCTCAACGATCAGCTGTAGGAAACTATATTTGTTATTTCGAAAAATATGACCAAAATATGCTGCTTTCCGTCGTTTTATTGTAGTCAATAGTTCTTAGTCCTTACACATTCTTTCCAATACTTCGAGATTTGTTTGAGAACCACTGGATCTTTTCTGGATTTTCTTTCTTGTAAATTTAATCTACTACCTATGTTACCATATTATCAAGAAACTATTTTTTTTAAATAAAAGCTAAAAAAAATTGCAAAAAATTCAAAAAATATTTTCAAAAATTCCGAATTTTAAAAAAAATTATTTAGAAAAAAAAACCTCATAGGCGTGTTTCTGGGGTTGAACTATACTACCAGTTAAGTTAAAATACTTGCACTTATTTCTGGGACACCCTGTATATGGTTACATAGTAGCGCCGCGCCGCGCCGCCTCGCGCTTATAACCTTGAAAAATTAAAGCGTGTTATCAAATCGGCTAGTTCACAGTGAAAGCAGGCAGGCACCGTCAACCAGCGTTCATCGGCGTTCTCGCTTTTACCGGAACGAAAATTTATTTATTTCTGCTTTTGCACGCGCCGACGGCGCACAGGGGGTATTAAGAACTAAAAGTTGGCCAAAATTATGTTTTATGATTTTTTTGCTTTTTTGCTAGTAATATTAATTATTAATTAGAGGAGAGGTTGCTAATATGGAACCCCATTTTGTTTTTCCTACACAATATTTTTTCCTCTACTCTGAAACCCTTTCCACCGATCAAATAGGGCCATTCTGTGCAAAACCAAGCAATTGGATGAGGATGCTAGAACAAGAAAGTAATTTGTATATTATAGACGATATTTGAGCGAGGATGGGTGTTAATAGGGTAAAGACTATTTCCTTTAAGAATCTATTTAAATCAATGTTTTTTTTGGCAGTGGCAAATATTGGCAAGATTTTTGTGCATATTCCAATGCTGGAGACTTTAAGCATTGAACGGATACTAATTTCCATGCGGAATATTGCCGAATAGTCTTACACCTTATAAAAATGCCACTGATTTTTTAAATATAAAACATTATAAAAAAATAGAATAGAAGGAAACGTTTCAAAATAAAAATATGGCATAAAACAGAACAGAGCCAACAAACAAAGCTGGCTCTGTATCCATCATGACAGTTATTATGAACAATTTGCAAAAAAAGCACTACAAACAATTCCACTATTTTTATAATCTTAGAAATATTCAGAATACACTCAAGATAATTCATACTTTTAACTGAAATATATTATTTATCTGATAGTCAACTTACGACTTAAAAAAGCTAATAACTAATAAACGTGCTTACATTTAATATTTATAGATTTGTGTTCAGTTAAGATAAAAAATAAAAAATATCACTTTTGGCCAGGTTTATAGACCAAATACATCTATGTGCGGCCCCGGGGGGGTGTAGTTGACTGGATATCTAATGAATAGGGCAGCTACCCCGATATCATGTGCGATTTCAGAAATAATGTTACATGTATTTTTTTTTTGTTATATGTATTTTAATTTCTAATTCTATATATTTGAATCTGTAATATACCAGTAATCAGTGCAACAACATTGCAGAAAGTTAATAGGTAAGAAACCTATCAACTCAAAAAAATAAATAAATAAAAAACGAAA